AAATGAGCAGTATTTGATTCCACTGACTTAACAGCCATGGACCTTGATGGAAAAATGCACACACACTGGAACCTGGCTGGTGGTTATCAAACCTGCTTTAGCACCCATCTGTGGAGCTGGACAAGCCTTTCCACTGTGGCTCTCACACTAACAGCTGTGTGACCATGGGTAAGCTACTAACTGCCTTATGTTTCAACTTCCTCATCTATTAAAGGAAAAAAAAAAAAGGAACAGGTTTTACCACAAAGGAAGAGTAGTTATATTGCCATCAATGCTTAGCCAGGCCAGACGGTGCACACCTTTAATCCCAGCATCTGATTCAGCTCTTTATTTACTTTATGCCTGTGTGCCTGAGCATATATATGTGTGTGTGTACCATGTGTGTGAAAGCCCATGAAGATCAAAAGAGGGCTGGGGTTCCCTAGAACTGAGTTACAGGTGGTTGACCATGACCCACCGCATGGATGCTGGAAACAGGACCAGGGTCCTCCGCGGGAACAGGGGCTGCTCTCCAACCACCCGAATTGTATTATTGTAAAACGCCCAGTGAAGCAGACGGCACATGAAGAAAAAAAAAAAACCTGCAGCAAAAAGACTGCTCAGAGCTGAAGACACAGCCCAGGAAGACAGACAGGAGAATAGGGAAGGGTGACACTTGAGCCACCTGGAGAGGAGTCAAGAGGACTCAGGGCCAACTAAACCCCAGTGAAGAAAGAAGAGTCAGAAAACAAAGATGACTCTTATTTCTAGAACCATGGTGCTGATACCAGGGAAGAGAAAGAGAAGGATAGAGGGCAAGCCAATGAGTGAATCTGGCCAAGCTGGAGGTGAGGCTCCTCAAGGACATGACTGAACGACCAACAGCTCTGGTAAACACAGACCGTGAGTGCGTCCAAGGAAAGGCAGGCACAAGCGATCTAGTCTGGGGGCTTCTAGCATCTGGACAGGCAGGTTGAAGTTGTGCGAGTAGAACAGAGCTGACAGGGAAAACAATACTGCAGAGTCCCTGGCATAGGAACCTCTGACAGACAATGAAGAGAGACATGGTCAGGTGAGGAATTCTCCTTCAAGAAGCTTTCAATGCCATTGGTGTGAAGAGACAAACACAACATTTTAAAATCATGACTGACCAGGGAGAACACAGCTAACTTTGAAAGCAGAAGTGAACATAAGAACAGCTGGAAGGCAAGGGAGAAGACAATGCTAAGAGGAAGAGCCAGGGCACAAGCTTGGAACTCAGGCGTCACAGAGAAGAGCCGACAGTGAAGGCTGTGTACACCAAGTGCCCGACATGACATGGGATTTCACACCCCTGGCGTCCATTTACCCTCCCAACATTCCTAACTGGATGAGACAAGACCAGCCTGGACCAAACAAAAGGGAAGGATCCTACCCAAGGTCCTGCACCAGTCTACCAACACCTGGCACTTTGGTAAGAAGAAGGGCCCAGGTACAGGACCACAGCCAGCAACTGTGTCACTGATGTTTCATGTGTATAAACCTGGAAAAGGTGAGCCATTTCAAAAGAGAAGAAAGCGTACAATATGGGCCCCTCTTTACAAAGTATCAAGGAGTGAGGCTGAGGATGATCTTTTACCCTCAGAGAGTAGCAAGATTAGAGGTGACTCTGTGCCTCCAGTCTTATCCTGGGTCTATCCCAGGATGACACCACAATGAAACTGTATACCTCACCATGCTGACCCTCCTTTCTTATACCCACTCAGTAACTCACTACCACAAGCAAGAAAAGCATTTAAAGGAAACAGCAAAATCCAAGTCACCCCGCCACACAGCCCCGAGTTTTATCGAATTATCTATGCCCCTAAAATAAGAAAAGCTAGATTTGGACAACTGCTTACTGAATAGCATTTCATAACACCGATGGATCCATGTTCTGCAGAAGCTCTCCCTCCAGCCACTTGTTCATCCAAATTGGAAAGTAACTGACATTTCAAATGTCAGCTAAAGAACAACATTGACACCTTGTGGTGAGCATCCCGAAGTTTGAAACACAAGAGCCAAATGGCTCCTGTCTGTTTGCTGTAGTCTCAGAGTTTTCTAGAGCTAACAAAAGTTCACTGTCTCACGCTGCACACACTGAAGGCAACTGTGGAAGGCTCAACTACTACTGTGGGGATGGTAAAGCTAGCCTGGGATCTCCAGGGTGAGCCAAAGCATCTGACTTGCTTTCCTACGAACAAAATAAAACTCCCGTGGGAAGTATGTGGTTTCAGGGCATGCCCTGGTCTAGGTATTCCAAAGTCCTAAGTTCACTAAGATTCCCTAGATTTCCATGACACTCGCCAGCAAATATTACTAAGAAACTATGGCTCCCAGGATCACAATACAGTGAAGGAACTTTTTATTAATTTTTATTATTAATTTTGAGACAAGATCTCACTTATAGTACAGGCCTGAAACTCACTATACAGCCCAGTTGGCCTCAACCTTGAGACCATCTTCCCTCAGTATTAGGGCAAATGAGTAGTACAAAGCCTCCTAGCTGGTGCAGGTTACTAATTAGCATACACTCCTAAAAAACACAATCAGGAAACTAATGTTCTCACTCTGAAGCTAAGGGCTACTAAGGAATGCAGACAGTGTGGGTGTTGTTGTTGTTGTTGTTGTTGTTGTTGTTGGAGACAGGGTCTAATGCAGTTCAGGATGGCCTAAAATTCGACACGCGGATAATGACAAGCTCTTGGGCCATCTGCCTGTGCCACCTGAGACCAAGATTAAAGAGACCTGTACCACAGGCCCAGCTGAGACCAAGATTGAAGAGACCTGTACCACAGGCCCAGCTGAGACCAAGATTGAAGAGACCTGTACCACAGGCCCAGCTGAGGCTAGGTTTTCAAATTATAGGCCAAGTAGCAAAAATGTTATAAATCAAGAAGAAATAGGAAAAGAAAATATAGTTTTAAAAATATCCCTATTCAGGAACAATGTTAAGTGAGTAGAGAAAAGAACAAAGAACCAGAGTCTGGGAGGAGAACACACTCCCAGCAAGCATTCCACGTCCACCACAGCAGAAGGCTCCAGAGAACAATGCGTTCTGCAGAGCAGACCACGGCTGCCTGCTACTGTCTGAAAGAAGCAGAAGGTTCACAAACTTTGACAAGTACAGCTAGCTTAGAGTTTCTGGGTGCAGGGTGATTTCCACAGTGTAGGCAGGTTATTTGGTTGATAAACAGGCATTTAATCTTGCTCAGAAAAACTGAGTCTTGGGACTGGTGAGAGGTTTTGGCTAACAGGACTGTAACCACATTAGTGAGAATGGGAAGATCCCAGGAGCTCACTGACCACCGAGCCCGGCAGAGACGAAAGGCTAGCATGCAGTGAGAGACCTGCCTCAAGCAAGCAAGGTAGAAAGTGACGGAGTCACACATCCAACGTCTTACTCAGACCTCTGTATGTGCATGTTCCTCCTACATGTGTGCACATAGCCACATACACACACACTCACACACATACATAGGCACATGCATACACACAATGTGTATATACCACCACACCCCACACAAAAGTGAGTCTGTGTTGTTTTGTAGCAATGGATTACTATAACAGTGATTCTTTAAAACACCTGTAAACTATACATATTAATAACACCACTTCCCCCACCACAAGAACCAGAACAGTTCAATGAACTCAGTAAACAGGACAATTAGAGGTGCTGGGGATTGAACTCTGCACTTCGAGCATGGCAGGTGAGTGCTTTTCCACTGAGCTATCCCTGCAGCTCCACTCACTGCATTTCCTATGGTATCACTTCTCTTTACCTCCTACTCCCCTGAATAGCTTAGAGCTTTCAGCACCCTTTGACACACCCTCTTTTCTCTGTTAACTATCCCAAGTGCCTCCCTTTTCTCTAAGTTCAGGATGTTTCTTTTAGCTCTATTGTTTTCTCTGATAAGATCACACAATCTCACACTGAGAAAATACCTTTTTAAAAAATTCTATCACTTTACTAAGGAAAATAGAGGTCAGGAAATTTCAACTATTTCTGGACACTCTATTCATCACTTACTGTGTATCCAATTCAACAGACTCCAAAGAATGTCCCTTCAATTAGTAAGCCCTATCTGTTTACACATCCCAAGCAGTCAAACTGAAGATACCTCTCGGACACAGGTCAAAGGTCATCAAGCATATGTGGCAGCTTTAGGGTTGTTGTCCCATAAGAGTAATTTTCACAAGTCACATAACCAAACTCTATGTCATCAAATATAAGATTCAAGGCTCACAAAGGAAAGGCCACTTGTATAATGTTTATAAAATAACCATTCTTCATGAATCCTTCTGAATTCTTCCACTAGAAGATCTATAGAGAATATGTAATGCTCTAAAATGTATGATGTGTTAAGTAAACATTAGAAAAGCGCTACGCTACCCAAATCAAATTTCCACTAGCAGTCTGAGCTGAACAAAGGCTGAGTGTTGTTACACTGACTATACTGGGAAATGTCCCTGATAATCTACCACATGTTAAACTGAAGCTAAATTTTTAAATCTTTCAAAATTAATCCCAAGCATTTCATATACATACAGATCCATACAGAGAGCCGAGGCATTTAAGCCTCTGAGCTTGGATATCTGCAAAGCTCCTCTGGCCTGTCACACAGGCCTGCTTAAGATGATGAGCAAGCCAAAAGCCTAAGCCAAGCCCAGGGCTCTTTGTGGGCTCTCCTGGGGAAGCATCATTGATAAGTTCTGGTTATGTCCATAGTCTGCAGACCAGCAAGTGCCTTCTGCTCTGTTTTAAGATCTGCAGCTTCCAGTTGCTCTTTTCCACTACCCAGTGAGAGGAAACGGCTTCTCAAAGATTCTGTCAAGGAGGTCAACTTAAATCACTGGAACAACACAATTGATGGGGCTTTCACTAAAAAATGTTAAGCCTGAGTGTCGGCTTCTCAAGCCCTGACACACTCTCTCACACCTCAGCACCACAGATGCACAAGAGAGAGCTATCCAAATCCAGGAGACTCTAAGGAGTTTCTTACCGCAGCAGAGAGAAGACGTCGTAAGAATTGCGAACACAGTTCTGGTCCACCTGAAGGAGGTTCTTATGTGCATTTGGATGACCCTGAAAGACAATGGTGAAGAAAGTAAACAAAAAGAAACAAAACCTGTGCACAGACCAACCATATTTGCCTTTCTCAGGATATGACCTATCAAAGACCTGGGTCCGCTTAAAATGTTAGAGACCCAAAAAGTATAATCTCTGTGGAGCTGCCATCAAACCTTTCAGACAAGTGGATTTAAAAATCAATTCCTTCTCACCGTTCCCAAAGAAACAAACAGTTCTGGTTGAGGACTGTATTTAACTTCCCAGAGCTGGCTCAGAGTCCTTGAGTACCTTATGTGACTGCAGAAGGGTACTATTCTTCCCACTAGGCTGAGTCCTCGCACCATGCTGTCTCTGGACGCCCAAGTCCTACTTGTGAATATAAGAGACAAATGTTCCCACCCACACAAGCACCAAGAATAACAGAATGACATAGGAACAAGGGAGGTATCTCTGTTACTTAAGAAAGGCAGTATAAACTGTAATTAATAAAAAGACTGGTCATTGTGGCTGTGGCTGTTGATAGGGTGCCTGCATAGATGTGCAAAGCCCTAGATTCTATTAGCAGTGCTCAGAAAACGAGATGTGGTGGTACATGCATAATCCCATCACTCAAGGGGTGGGGGAGCCAGGAGGATAAAAGTACAGGCCATCCTTAGCTACAGAGTGAATCTGAGGCCAGCCTGAGAGCCCTGAAAAAGACTCTGGACTTAGACTATGATTCTTTCAAACCCTTAATGTACCAGGCCTGTGACTGTCACCTGTACCTTCTTAGTCGGTTGGTTTCTCTGTAACATGGAAATGACAGTTGTGTGTATCTCATAAATGTTATAGGAAAAGTTAATATTCATAAAACAAGTCATGCAAACACTAAGTATCTGCTATGATCAAAACACAGACATTTTTAATTAATAATAAATACTGGCAAGGATTTGAGGAAAAAGGAATGTAAGTTAGCATAGCCACTATGGAAATCCACGTGGAGGTTTCTGGAAAATGTAAAAATTTTGAGAAATGTTTGAGCTATCAAAATGACTCAAGAAACAGAAATCAAAACAGACTTTTCATATGTAAAGAAGTTAAATTGGTAATCATAAGCCTACCAGGAGAACTAAATATAAAAGTTTAAAAGTATGGAGGCAGAAAGGAGACTTAGTCAATCTGATAATTATTTAAAATAATAATAATACCAATGCAGCTCAAAGTCTTAAGAGAAGAAAGGAGGGGATTGACTTTTTAAGTCACTGTATGAGATCAATATTACTCTTAGAAGAAACCCAAATGAAGCATAAGAAAACCTTATACTGTTGTACTTTATAAATTCACACACTGAAATCTTCCATAAAATATGAGCAAAACTAATCTAGCAGCATATTGAAAGGATGATTCCATGTACTCTGGCAAGTGTTCCTGGGTTTATCCCCAAAAGAAAGCAAGGATTTGAATATAAGATTTGGGTATCCGCAGGCATAGTAGCCTTATTCACAACTGCCAATGGGTGGAAATAACCCAACAATCCACAGACAGAGGAAATGACAAACAAAATGTGGGCTATTCATACACTTAGCTTCGCAAGAGGAAAAAAATCTAGCACATGATCCAACCTAAGTTCTAGCCAGAACAATTAGGCAGGAAACACAAAATATACCCAAATTGGACCAAAATAAAATGGAAAACATCCCATGTTCTGGATACTGTCACGACAGCAACAATATCCAAGGCCATTCACAGATTCAACACCTCTCTATCATAATCCCATCTGCCTTTTCTACAGAAATAAGAAAGCCAATTTTCAATTCACATAGACTCAGAAGAGGCTGACAGATGACAAAGAAGACTTACATTATCTGATTTCAAAACTTACTGGAAGGCAACAGCAATCAAAAGAAGATTGTCTGAGCCGAAGGCTGGCCAAAGGAAGGAAGGAAGGAAACAGACAGAGTGTGTAGAGATTAAACCAGAGTATCTACAATCAACTACCACAATATATCAACAGCAAGGTACCGAGGCCAGGCAAGGGAGAAATATGCTCGCCATAGGCGGTCATAACTGGGTGGCCACATGCACAGCAGCACCAGTGCTACAGAAACTCAGAAGGGAGGACAGTGACGAGTTACTTCATCCACATGGGGACAGCTGTAACAGAATATAATAATTATTAACAGCCTACGCCAACAAGATCCAGAAGAACTAGCATCCTTACAGGTCAGGGTTGTTGCCACCAAGGAGGAGAAGTTCCATAATGCCTCAAAATGTTAAAACCTGGAAGTAGAGAATAACAATGTTTTGTTTTGTTATTTTCGAGGCAGGGTTTCTCTGTGCAACAGTCCTGGCTATCCTGAACTCACACTGTAGACCAGGCTAGCCTTGAACTCACAGAGATCCACCTGCTGAGATTAAAGGCGAAAGGCATTCTCTACCATTGCCTGGCAATAACAATTTTACTCCCAGGTTCTTACCAAAAAGAACTGAACACAGGCACTCAAACAAGAGTTTGACCTCGACTGTTAAAGGACAGAACAATCCAAATCCATCCAAGGCTAATGGATAAAGAAAGTGTGGTACATCTTCAGAAGGATGAAGTGCTATATATAATATGTAGATAATGTGTGCAAATATAAGACATGTTACATGAAAACCACTAAACTCAAAAGATCACACACCGTGGGATCCCACTGACATGGACTATCACACACCATGGGATCCCACTGACATGGACTATCACACACCGTGGGATCCCACTGACATGGAATATCACACACCGAGGGATCCCACTGACATGAACACACAGAGTATGTGAATCTGTAAAGTATGAAAGCAGATTGGGAGCTATGGGAGGTGAGGTGTGGAGAAAGGCACACTGGAGTACCAAGTTTTCTTTAGGATTACCTTTTTCTGACATGTCTGTCTAAGTGTTTATGTGCATGTGAGTACAGGTGCTTCCAGAAGTCAACACTGGGTCCCCCAGAGCTGGAGTTACAAACAGTTGTAAACTATCTGACTTGGGTGCTGGAAACTGAACTCACATCTTCCATAAGAGCAGGAAGCATTCTTACCAGAGCCATCTCTCCAACCCTCTTGAGTTTTCTTTAGGTTAATAAAATGCTTGTCAACTTGATAGAGACAGTAGTTACATGAGTTTTAAGACATGGCTATGAAATAATGTTCATATCATGAAGGTGAGAAGCTGAGGAGAAACAAGATACACAGGAGACTAAGCTATAAACTTAGTTTTCTTATTTTATCTAAAAAGCTGCCATGTATTTTTTTGTAGTTACTAAAAACCATCCAGGAACTGGAGAGGTGGCTCAACAGTTAAGAGTACTTGCTGCTCTTGTAGAGGACCTGGATTTGATTTCTAGTACCCACATGGTTGGCTTACATCTATAACCTGAGTTCCAGGGAATTCAGCAGGCACATATGCACTGGACATAAATGCAGCCTTACAAGATAGTCATACACATAAAGTAAAATAAATAAATAATATTTTGTTTAACCATCTAAGACAGTTATGGTGACACAATAACCATCTTCCTACCCCTTAGGAGGCTGAGACGACTTGAAGAGTAAGGCCAGCTTGGGTGACATCCTATATGAAAAGTAAAAATAAGGAGCCATGAGGATGGTCGAGCCAGGAAAGCGCTCGCCTAGTGCTGGTGTGAAAGCCTGTTATGGTGGTGTGGATTAGTTAATGCCAGCTCAAGTACAGCAGCACCAGGAGGATCCCGGAGGGCCTCTGGCCAGCCAGCCAGCCAGCCTGAGTCTGTGAGCATCAACTTTAGTGACAGACCTTGTCTCAAAAAATAAGATGAAAACTGACTGAGAAAGACACTGGTATTTATCTCTGGTCTCCACATCTATGCACACACACGTGTACGAATAGTACTCTCGAGTGAATACACACATATACAATTTAAATCTACATCTGTTAAACACATATCTACAAGCCACACATGGTAACGGAGGGAAGACTGAATTGAAAAGCTGCAGCTGGGCTTTAGCCCACTCTGCCTGTCAGGTAAGGAAGGGCATCATTTCTCTCCTCTCGGCCACAGTATCCATAAGTATAAAATGAGGCAACTACTGAAGTATCAGTGAAACAAGACTGCGTTTGCAGAGGGAGAGTCCTGTGTCAGAGCCAGCGCTCCGCCTGGGCCAATGCAGCTGTGGGAAACGCCCACACTTGCTGCTGATGCTTGCAAGCACAATGGCTAGGTGCTATTCTTAGCCCCACTTTAAAGGTGAAGAAACTGAGACACAGGAGGATTAAGGGGAAGAGCCACACAGTCTGGCTCACAGCCCCTGCTCTTAAGGACCATGGTAAACTCAGTGATCTCCCAGATCCTTTCTGGTTCTAAAACTCTCAGGCTACGGACATTTAAAGCAGCTTAAGGACATTATGAAGCCCTTTGACTTCAGCCTGCACTTAGCAATTAACATTCTTCAAATATGCCAAGAGCCTCACTCTGGACAGCAACTAACTGGACCAGCTGTGCAATCCTCCAGGCTCTGGTGAGGGTTATAATGGAAAGAAACAGCTCATTTGTTTCTGGTTATCTGTGGGAGATAGTGCCAAGTGCCAAAGAGCCCAGGAAAGATTTGCACACCACTCAAAACTCTTCTGAAGCCAGGCCTAAGGATTTCCTTCCACTGAGGGAATCTCCTCTGCCTGGAGAGGGTCTGGTAAACTGCTAGGAAAGCAGACAGTTCCACATCTCCAGCAGCAGGGGCTCCAGGCAGATCAGATCAGGTGTATTTCTAGATCAGTGGTCAGTGCAATTCTTCCATAAAGGGTCAGAGGGTATTTTTGAGGCTAGGAATACAGTTAAGTGGCAGGTGAAACCTGAGCTTGATCCCCAGTCCTGAGCAGGGGTCACGGGGCACAGTTAAAACTCAGTGTTTTCAGCTTTGCACAGACGCCTGCAGCATCTGGGGCACATTCTTATTTGTTTCCTCTTTCAAATTCTTGAAAATATAAAAACAACTTAGTGTTGGTTTAAAGAGCACACAAACTTTAA